CAAAGAAAAATAGAATTACATATAACAGTTCATATACGTAATCTGTTAACATATCAATATATTTAAGTCTGATTAATATGCATGTTTTGATTTCATAGAAATCAAATATTCAACTCCTATTATCAACTTTTAAAGTTACAAAATGAATTGCATTATCAATTTTCTCAGCCAAGTTTTTACAACTATTGCACTTTTATTGATAGTATCTGCAATAATTATTAGGCAAGACAAGCCAGGTAAATTAAACTCAAACTAGAGTTAATGAATTTCAAATTCAAATCTTTTTGATTGAACATATTGAATTTTAGCTATAATCTTTACTCCTACAACTATTGAAATTATCGAATATCCAAGAAATAAAAATGAAACAATATTAACTCAAGAAGAAAGCGAAGCTGCCAAGATCGTGAAATTTTTGGTTATTGCATTAATTTACTATGCAAAAGTGCTTTTTTATTATTATAAAGAGCAAATTTCATTATTCTTCATGAGTTAATTTTAGCAATAATCTTAGCAATTGATATAACAGATAAAGTAAACCAAAACATCTTTGCTCAAAATCTAATAAATCTTTTATTAAGTGACAAGGCAAAGCAGATTTTATTATCAAAAGCCTAAAATGTTGCTCAATTTGTTTTTTTGAGGTTTTGATTTTTTTTTCTAACTACGAGTTTTGTTCCAGCTTGTGTTTCTCACCTATAGAATAAACTGAACATAAAAAATCTTACTTTATAAGATATTTGCTCGATAGTAGAATGGGCATATATGCTATTAAAATTATTAATATATTGTATAGTGCATAAAACTTATCAGAGCAGCTTTGCCAAAATTTAAACTTTTCTAACTTGTCCGTGCCCAAATCCCAAACTCAAGCCCAAATTAATATCTCAAAAACTTTATTAATAATCTTTATTTAAACAAATAATATATTCTTATAGCTATATATAATATATTTACAAAATATCAAAATTATTTTATTGATTTAATTTTTTATAAAAGCAATTTGTTTTGGGGGTTTGGAATTTGTCCAGGTTTTGCTAGCAAGTATAGTCAGAAGGGTATTTTGGGAGATATCAGTAGGATACGATGCATCGGTAGCATCAGCGATATCAGTCACATCAATCGCAGGATATAAATAAATTCTTTGTAATTATAAAGGCCTAAAGGCCCTTCAGGAAACATAAATTCTCTTTGCAAATAAACTAGTACATAATATACTCAATAAAGACACAAACCTCCTTCACCATAGAACCTGACTTATACCATATTAACCACTGTCTGGTTATTAAAAAATATTTGAATATCAAGATTTTCATAGTGAAAACATTTTACAAGGTTTATTTTAAAATTTTTAATTTTAAAATTTTATAAAAAAATTTTATGTAATTTTTATGATAATTTAAGGAGTCGGATTTATTTAATACATTGAAATAATTTTGTCAAAATATTTCTTCAATTTATGATATGAATTCTCTTCATCATTACTCATAAGATCGAAATATTCTAATGGCTTCTTATTGCCAGGATTAATTTCTAATAATCTTGTCAGATCAACTAAAGCTCTATCATTTTTACTATTCTTCAGCACATTTATGGTATTCTTCAACGTGAACTTTCAACAGGTACGGAACGTCTAACAATCGATTTAAACTGTTCAGAACTTCATTATACAATATCTTTGATGTGTGCAAAGACAAAAAATATGATATAGAACTCATGCTTGGTGAGATATTTCATAGCACAAAACTCATATTCTTCAATTGAAGACAGAAATAAGTTAAGAAAAGGAGCAAAGGATTCATTTGATAGTATATCAATAACTTATTTTAGATAACCAAATTTTAATTTAACGAATTTAAAAATCTTTTTATTGCATTCGCATAGTTAGTAAAATTTTTAATATTTAGGAAGTTTCTATTTATTTAAAATTTAAATATAATTTTCATTTAGGGACAAAGTTGGAATTTTTAATTTTCGATAAAAAATATTCACCGATGTTCCGAATGAGAAGATTGAAATCCCTTTTAAAAAGGGATCAGATTTATTAGAATTAATTAAAGTTGTGCACATCTTTAAATATCTTATAGAGGAAACTATAGAAAACATAAAATTTGTTAAAAAAGCAAAAAACTATATGAATTATGAAGATGAAGAGGATGAGAATGATGAAGGAAGTAAAAATTATGAAAGTAAAAATTATGAAAGTGAAGATAATAAAAGTAAAGATGATGAAGAAAGTAAATGTTATAAAAATAAAAATAACGAAGATGAAGATAAAAAAAATGAATTTGATGAATTAGAGAATTTAACTAGCAGAAGTGGTTTGAATGATTATAATATCCCAACGTTTAATACACTAATTTTACAAAAAAAA